TCAATGTCCTATTTTGGAGCATTGATGCCCACATATTTGTTATTCTCACTCAATGCCCCAGTCAAACTGAAAAAATTCAAGCTTACTGCTGGTAGCCACTGCCATCTCAATACTTCATGGCACATCAGACTGAAGGAGTCTCTTCTTCAAATGCAAACTCAAACTGAAACTCTTGTTTTATTAATTGATTCAATAAAAAGGGTACTTTTGCTAATGCTCCCTCCTCATGTTTATGTATTCTATACTTATGAATCAATTAACTTATGTTTCTTCCCTGTTTCATTTACCTACATTTTGGTTTCTTTAAATTGTCAAGAATACATTTGATAGCATTGGAGCAAGCAAAAGTTGCCGTTCTCCACCATACTCCCTCAAGTGCTTGGTTCTAAATGTATGTCTTCCAATGATATTTGATTTTGAAGCTCTTATTGATGGTTTCCTATCAATTTTTCATCCTGAAATCCTATCAGTTATATTTATTGTTCCTGGGCCAAAATGTTTTTTTTGAGGTATGTGTAGTTTCATTTCAACATCTCTGTGCAGTTTGTAACTGATGGATTTAACCAGAAAATAAGCATCTGTACTTGGTTTAATACAACACTGTTTAGAGTTAGGAAAGGAAATAAGTGTCACATATTGTTCAGAGATCTTTTCAATTGCCTCTGTAGTTCAGTGTACAAAATAAATTGCTTTCCAATGACAGCTTAAATCTGAACAACGTATTTTAATTTCAGAGTTTTCATGGTAATGATTCCTTGTTCTGATTTATGAGCATGCAAACCAGATTCTATTCAAGGTGATGGTGGGCAGAGAAGATCAGAGCTGCTGTATTTCAAGCAAGATTAAATGCTGGCGGCATTCCTTTAAGGTGGAGCAAATTATAGTGAAGAAATTTAATGGGATTAAAGAAAAAGTACCTCTTTCTTGGGATGCTTTCTCAAAAGCAGCATGTGAGGAAACATATATAGTCGATTTTCACTTGACATGGTGATCACTTCGGTTTGGAGGATGACAACTATACTAAAATTTTCTTCTAATTTAATTATCTTTTTGCTTCTAGAATTTAGTAGAATGCTTATGAACCATCATGTTTCAGTGCTTTCATTGTTGTCTGCAGTAACATTTTTAATTAGGTTCAAGATGGGTTGAGCTCTATCTCTCTGCCTTATGAATGCTTAGTTTCTCTGAAAAAAATTGTGAAATGGTGAATGTAAAGTTAAATAGAATCTCTATGTTGACCTTCATCAAGTTCAATCCTTGGTGCTTTTTTCTTCCCAACCCATAAATTTACAAAAGGGTTTCATTTTTTTTTTTTTAACAAAAAATATGATAACTACACATCTTATAATTATGGACAAATAGCAAGTTTTTTAATATTAAAACAGTTAACCATCAATGATTATAAAATTTACAATCTATCCTAAATAATGTAAGAAATATAATACTAAAATAGTTAATCATCAATGATTATAAAATTTGCAATCTATTCTAAATGAGGTGGGAGGTAACTTTCTCTTCATGTAAAAGAGATCCGGAAAACTTTCAACAAAAAGCCATTTTCCTCTTGGCAAACATATTTGGCATTGTTGATCCTCCAAATACTTGGATTAGATGATTAGTTATACATGAAGCTAAGAACTATTTCATTTAAAGTTGGAACCATTAGGTGAGAGTGTAGAAATAAATACAAATTCTTTGAGCTTGAAGTGTGTATAAAAGCACGATTTCACTAGTCGACGATTATTAACCCCATTCAATAAATCAGAGGTTCTCATCCCAAATAAAAAATACCATATCACTTAAAGACCAAAAACTTAAGACTCTCTTTGGCATGGTTGTAATTTTAAGTTTTTAATTTTAATTTTTAAAATTTAAATAAATAAAATTCAAAATTAAATTTAAGACAAATACACAAAATTTTAAATTGAATTAATTTATAGAAATTTTGAATTTTTATTCTAGAATTTCAAAATTTTAGAAAACCAAAAAAAAAAAAAACTCAAAATCAAAATCATATTAAGAATAATTCTTGCCCTTTACTTGACAATTTATTACACAGTTTCTTTTTATATAGTATTTTATTTAAAAATATAAATTTATTATTTTTAATTAATTATTTTATTTTTTATTAATTTTAATTAATATTTCTTTTATATTTTTAAATTAACAAAAAATAAAATTTACCACTACAGTCTCAATAGTACACAAAAAAAGAAGTGCTACTTAGTCATGACCCACATCAAAAGGCTGGAATATGCTTCAACTTATTCATTGATATTAATATCATACTATCATGATATTCATGGTAAGTGTGAGTTAGTTACGTGACCTACATCATATGATTGGAATATGCTTCAACTTATTTCAATATTTGGGTAAACGTGAAATTTAATCTCTTAATTTTAATTTTAAACAATTTTCGTTGTTAAATTATGTTTTACCCTTTTTTCATCTTTTAATTATGAAAAACATTTGTTTTTGTCATTTCACCTGTTTTGTCTATTAAGTTTGTATCTTTGACTTTTTGGCCCTTGAATTTTTGGTTTATATACTTTTTTTTTTTCTAAATTAATATCTGTTACATATTTTTACTCTCTGAACTTTAATTTTATGTAAATTTAAATTATTTAAAAAATATATTAGATAAATAGACTTAATGGACAAAATTGATAAAAAAAAAGGCTAAAAAATTATATATTTTATAATTGAGAGACAAAAATTAATAAAAAAAATAATCTAAAGACTAAAATTATATTGAATTAAAAGTTTAAAAACTAAATTTGATATTTAACCTCAATTTTTTCAGTGGATATATACAATCTTAACCTCAATTTGTTGGCATTGATGGAGATTGATAGATCTTTTAACGAATAGGGTCAATTATGATGAGTGTAATATGCTTAGTCCTACAAGTTTGTTATAAATTTACAATCATGAGATGCTAATTAAATAAGTAAATGTATTTAATTACAAAATTAATTTATTGCAAAACATTATTATCTTTTTTTTTTCTATTCTTAAAAATTGAAAATAGTGTTTGTTTTAACATTTTATAAATAAAAAAAACTATTTTACAGGACAGATTATATATAATCTATCACATATAATTACTTAAATACCCTTATTTTTGTTTTTATATTATTTTTTAAAGATATTTAAATAATTTTATAAGATAAATTTCATATAATCTGTCTTGTAAAACAGTTTTCAGTTATAAATAACTGTCAATTTTTAAAATTTATCAAATAAATTAGATATTCTAAATTATATTATAAATAACAATAATGATTAATAATTATATATTAACTATCAATTGCATGGAACAATTTGTTCAAACACTGTTAAGAAAATAAGTGCATCAGAGGAAGCAATTATTTTTTTTTTGTAGATATTTACATTAGATATTTTTGGATCAATTTGTACATATTATAATATTAATTCCTTCCTAAAGAATCTTAATTGAGTATATTTAAAGAAATTTATTAATCTACTTATAAAATATTAAAAATATTATAATTATAATAACACGTAATATTATAAATTTATAATATAATATATTATTATATAATTAATTATTTAAAAAAATTATTTATAACATTATATATTTATTTAATAACATATTATATTTTATTTAATATTCATATAAAATTATAAATAACATGCTAAGTATAATATTACAGGTAAAATATCAGCTGTTTACACGTGAATCCAATACTTTGTTTATTGGATGAAGCGCTTATCCTCCCTGGCAATATCAATTTTTTCTTTTTGATTTCTTAAAAAGCAGGAACACCCACAGCAATAACAGTGAAACGGTATCTTTTTCCATTAATCTGCAGCTCATTAATGGGGAAGATGAAGCCTTAACGCCGCCTAAACGAAAACCCAATCGCTACAGAAATTTGCTTTCCAACTTTGCGATTTCTCTTCTCCTTCACTGTCACTTCAAAGGCAAGGCAAGTGGATTCTTCTCTCTTTCTCTTTCCATGGAGTCTTCACCTACCTTTTTAAGATTTTGTCACTGTTCCATAGCGAATTAGGTTTCTATTTGGGGTTTTGCAGCTAAAATTGATCTCCTGAGCTGACGATTTTGGTTTTGTATCTTGGCGGTTGTTCCTTAGTTGAGACGTGGGGTCTCTTTGTCCGTATCTGTTTCATAATGATTTTGCGATTGTTTCCATAGCTTGAAATTTTGATGTTAATGTATATAATTTACGTGATTGGATAGATGGGGTTTTTCTCTTTTGTGGGTCTCTAGTTTCAAGTAGAATTTTTGTTGCTTTTCTGGTGAAATGGTTTATTGTAGATAATCCCAATTCATTGGTAGAAATTGTTAGGTTTGTGGATAATTGCTGTTCAGAATTTCTGAGCATGGGTATTTAGTTTCTATGGGTGTTGGGTTGGGTTTTGTACTTTAATTGAACATACTCTCTGATACTTAACCTAATTTTGAGCTCAATTCAGTGTTGTGTCTGTTCAAATTTTCATCATATATCTGTTTGCTATTTTCACCTGAACCAGTTTTGTTGTATGCTTTGCGTAAGGGAATAAACTTAGGCCAGTATGTGGCCGTCGAGTAACTTTTACTCTGTAATTTCATGATAAGTTTACTTTCAAGAACCATGGTCTCACTTTTTTTTATGGAAAATCTTGTTTCTTATGGGAGTTTGGGTTGGTTTTTGAAGACTCTTGTAGTGACTAAATTCTCTATTTGTTCTAACAATAGGTTCTTCAAAGGCAGAAAGGGGAGGCCAGGGTAGTTGAGGAGGCCAACTTACAATTTTATGTCAAGACGACATGGATCAGAGTAAGAGACTTATTTATTCTACATCTCTTCTCCATTTCTCTTTGTACAATGGTTTGTAGTTTTGCGTAAAAGTAGCTTACTGGCAAGAGGGCTATGTCTATTTCATGGAGCATTCATATTTAGAAATATTTTCTGATAGACATTACATTATACAGATTATTATACATCTATATTCTACAATCTTTAAGTTTTGATTGTGTTCTACTTTTGGATGATATTGTTATAATATTAGTTTGGAAGTTGTAAAAATTGCTAGTCTTAAGCAAAGTTCAAATGCATTTCAGTTTGCAGTTCAAGATATCAGATATGTTCATATACTAAGAGGATAGAGGTCATTGTTATGTGTTGCTGGGTTTAGTGATAAAACTGGAAGTTCTAACCAAGGATCATGTCTTGAGCCATGACACAATTCAGAAAATGTGTCAGTTGTCTTCAAGCCATAGTGAACTCTGATTTCTTATGTTCCTTTTAACTTTAAAGTGATCAAAATCAGTATCAAATTAGAAACTCATTTTGAAAGATCACAACCTCTGATTTCCTTTTATTTAGAGTTAGTACTATTGTCAATGTCTATTTAAGCAAATAAAAAATACAACTGGTTCAAGGCAATAGATTACTCAATTGGCATTATTTGGCTACTAATCAAAATAATATACATTTGTAAGAATGGTGTTATGGGTTGGACACTAGAAGGTTGTGTTGTTTACTTTAAAGATCCCCATTCTTTCAGCCAGAATAGGAATTGCTTTACCAGATGGCCACAAGGTTACTGCTTATGTGCCAGCAGTGTCAAGCTCAACTAGATATGAACCATATATGGTACCTGAGCTTGAGCACTTTAAAGTTTAAACCAGTGAAGCATTATGGGATGAGATCATGAAACCCAAAGAATAGATAGATTATAATGTGTAGGGATTTAAGTGAAGCAGCATCCCACCATACAGAAAGGTAAAATACATCATCAATTTGTATCTTTGCATGGCAAAACATGCACAGGAGCTTATACTAGGAATTTTTGTTGATGTGCTTGAGAGTTGAGATAATTTGTTCAGATTCAGTATACATTGACTCGTATATTAACCAAGTTGACTTCAAGAATAACTTTAAACCATCAGCACTAGTGTAATTTCAAACTGAAATCTTACCAGACCTTGAATGTATTGAAAAATACCTCCTTCCAGCAGGGTCTACAAATAGTATTATTTTATTGTTAAATGTTCTACAATGTATCTTTTATTTTTCTTGGAATTGTGATGGATGAATATCTGTCTCCTCATTAAAACAAGATGTAACTAGACAAGCTGATAAAGGTGTTTGGTATGTATAGAGCTCTCAACAGATGTGGTAGAGCATAGAAACGGTGGATATGAAAGTATCAGAGATGAAGAAGATCCCCAACTGGGAATGTATGATAAGCCACTTCCTTGCTGTGGCTGTGGAATAGGATGGTTTTCGTGAGTGTTCCTGTTCTTCAGCCTCCTCTAACTCCTCATCTTATTTTCTTAACTCAGGATCATTTAATTTGTATCTACTTCTTGCAGTCTCTTGCTTGGGTTTGTTTTCCCACTGATGTGGTACTTTGCAACAATTCTCTATTTTGGAAACTACTACCGTAAAGATCCAAGGGAGCGATCGGGACTTGCTGCCTGTGCAATAGCTGTAAGTACTAAACTCAGTGATTTGTATCTGTTGTATGTTTGCAGTTACCATGATGGATGTGAAAATCCTTATGATCAATCTGTACTATTGCCTATTCATGGATTAATGTTTTCCTCTTGGGCCATATATCTAATGCAATATTGAGAAATCTAATCAAAATTATAAGTTCTCAGAGTCTGAGCCTAGACTTCATTTTCTTAGGCCATTCTACATTCTCTTTATTTTCTGAAATATCCATTTTTTGGTATTTAATGTGTAATAAGCATCTCCTGTGTTGATGGTCATAGATAGAAATTCCAGTGGAACTATTGCAAGCCAACGTGTTATTGGCGGTTCAATGGATCTTCTTTCATTAACCTGAGATGATTTTGTTGCAGGCTTTGATATGTACAGTGGCTGTGGCAATCATAACACTTGTTCTTCTTCTCTAGTTCGTAGCCACTATAATATGTTTCTGTTCTCATCACTTTTATGTGCCTCCTCAACCAAAACATTAGCTAAGGATCTGTATACAAAGTTTTCATCCATTCTAGTTGTAATGGAGGCAAGAAAAGGAACATTGGCACTTAGAATGTTCAACCATATGCCATGCAAATCAATTGCTGGATCCTTCTCCAGTCTTGTACATGATACAAACTTTAAGTAGTAAATTTTAAAACCGTCTAATACCTCATTATGTGGGCAGTGTATGAACTACTAACAAGCAAATATTTCCCAAAAATGTAACCCTGGAAGAATTCAATATTTTGATTGTGTTCAAAAGAAGCTTAATAAAAACGTATACATGATTTTAGGGATACGGAGTATGTTTTTATCGGCAAAACATGAGTTATTGCTCAGCCATTACATCAATTTAAACCTTAATCCCGGAATTAAGTTTTATGAAGTTCCTCATAGGAAGTGCTTATAGGACCTCTTTGGTCGCCATAGCTCCAGATGAAGATATATGAGAAACTAATTAAGATTAGAGAAGAATTTCTAGACTTGAATTTGAAATGCTACTTTGGAAATAAGGCTCTATAAAACCTAAATGGAGAATATGAAAAGCTTTGAAAATGGAGAATATATGCAGGAGGGGTATGTTTAGGGTTTGCTTAGTATTGTTATGGTTTTAAATTTTTGGTTTTGATTATCAAGCCATTTTATGTTGTGGCTTTATTGAATAGTTCAGGAAAATTCCTTAACCAAAGATGCCCTAAAAAGAAGGGGAGGAAGAAGAAAGGGTGCATTTTGCAAATTTAATAACAAATATAGCCACATTCATTCCCCTTTATGCATCTGCTAATGCATTGTGAGAAGATTAGCATTTATTTCTGTTAAAATTATAAAAACACGTTCACGCTTTAATTGATTGTATTAATTTATAAATTTATTAATTTTATATCTTGAAATATTTTATTATACAGACCAAACACTCTAATTGATTGTATATTAATTTAATTTCATTGATTTTGTCCTGACAAGAAAGTAATACTCTATTCACATTTTTCTCCTACTTATTTGCTTCCTCTCTTTTTTTTAAGAAAAGAAAAAATAATTAAAGGTGCTATTATATAAGAAATCATGAAGAAAAAAAAATTCAATTTCAGAGGCAATGTTAAGAACTATTAAAATCTATAGAGTCAGAAGGATCAGGTTCCATTATCAAAGTCAAAAATTAATCCAAATTTAAACAGAAACGAGATTTTCTTTTTCTTTTTCTGTTTATGAGGATCAGCCTTCAGCCCAAGACGCTACTCACTTCTTCTCTACAACTCCAGCAGACCTCATCTCGCGGAGAAAATTTGACATCTCTTTACGCTTCTTCTTGGCACTCTTACGACTGCCTAGCTTTCTCTCTGCCACCTTAAGAGCACGCTTGTCTTTCCCAACTTTCAGAAGTTCAGTAATCCTCTTCTTATAGGGAGCAAAATCCCACAACCTCTCTCTAATAAGGGTCCTTACGAAGAGGACTCGCTCGCTGGTTCTGCTCTTTTTGCAGCCAGCTTCATATTTTCCCGGAAAGCGTAGTTGGAGCTGTGTGGTTGGTGAGAACTTCGCTCAAGTGCTTTCAGCTGATGGCTCCAAAGCAACCTAACAACTGGTCTGTTTGTGGGGGTTATACACAGTACTTATATATAAGTCGGTCGAACAGAACGTTTCTCGATTCAAAATCAATTAAGTTTAAATGTATATAATTAATTAAAATGTGAATGTACTAAATTTTTTTGTAAGTCGAGATTAAAAATTAAACTCTAAATCTACAATTAAAAGTACAATAATTTCAACATACTAATTAATATAGTATTAAAAAAAGGATTTACGTACCCATTGGTTCGATACTTAGCAGTGTATACTCCATAAAAATATTTCCCTAAAGCCCTAACCCTGCAATCATCCATAGACCTTTGGCCTATTCATGTATCCAAACATATTATAAAATCAAAATTACAAATCGAACCCAGCACTTAGATTCATGCTGGGTTCATGACGAACCCAATGTCTAAGTTTAAATCAAACCCAAGAACAATGCTTGTCACCTAAATAGTTCTGGGTTTGTTTGAATCTATAAGCAAATTATTATTGAATTGGATTTTTCTTTGTTTTAGGAGAATAAATTGACTGGAGATTGATGATGATAGCATTGGATGATTTCCTTTAAAAACTTTTTGAATGGAGGGGGGATTCATAGATGGGTAATCTAGGTAAAACTTGATGTGGATTGTTAGATCTCACCAATTCAAGTGTTTTCAGTAGGTGATTTATGCTAAATAAGTGAGGGATAAATTTGTCAAATGAGACTATTTTATTTTATTTTTAGAACTAATCGTGTGTAAAAAAAGGTGTGGGTTCAAATGATAAGCGTATCACTATCCTAATACTAATATTTTGACAATGTGAATACTAACATTTTGCCATGCAGAAAGGGGAATGAAATGTAGATGTATTTGTTATTAAATCTAGAAAAATGATGGCAGATTTTCAATAAAAAAAAAAAAGAGCCATTAGTATATTCAATCTAATAAATTTTTTTGCTTTTTTATATGAAGCATTTAGATAAATATATTTAGATGGATAAAGGGGAAGGAATTTAGCTTTATTTTTTTATTAAATCTAGAAAGGGATTATGGATTTTCT